GAGAGAGAGAGAGAGAGAGAGAGAGAGAGAGAGAGAGATTCACGCTCACCCGTTATCCGAGCAACCGACAGAGTTCAAGAGGAATGTATAATAAAGCAGATAACGCGGCGGGGAAGGCTTATGAGGCGTGTTACCCTAACGCATATACATCTCCACTGACGATGACACGCTCATACTTCGACAACAAGAAGAAGAAGAAGAACTAATGTCGCTAGCGGGCAGATACTACGACCGTCAGAGAAACCGCGGTCGCTGTGGTGGTGACCGTAACAGAGCTACCACTAGCCCGTGCGACGGAATTTACGACCCCTCCGTGGATTGATAACTCGTCAAGACAAACTCCCACGGTGACGCAGGTATAGGCGCTCGTAAGGCTCAGCGCAGTCTTCTCATAACACGTACCCATGCAGCACGTATTTCTACAATCTCACGTAGGCTGCGGCGGCGGCTGTGCTTGAGTGTGTGCGTGTGTGGGCGGGGAATGATGCCTCGGGCGCTTCGGGTGGAATACGGAAGACGTGACGTGTGACCTTAGGAGGAATTTCGGCCGATGACGGACTCTCGCACATATCGCTGAGGCTGCGTGAACACGGACCGCTGCCAACACTCGACGTCGAGGCAACCGCAGACGCCTAGGCGACTATAGCGACACCTTGTCCGTAACGTGTTTAATTCGTTTGTCTCTCGAGATTATTCCGCAAGACATCTGTGCAGATAATCCGTCCCGATGCGGATGCTTTTTGTGTATAATTATTTTGCACAAGTTTTTTTTCTGATGCGTACAAAGCGGCCCGTGTGTACTACCACGATACCATATCGTTGGGAGTGGGTGTTAAATTACATTCGATTGTGCTCTTCTTTTTAATTAAATTCGCTCAGTAGAGCAATGGCCGCGCAGTGCCAAGACATTCCTGAATGTCTGGCAAACATGTATTTCTAGCTAAAGAGTCCAGCCGACTGATGCGTACCACGCGGATTCTGTTCTGGACTCTCTTGGACGGGTTGCAATTCTCAAATAATAAAAATGAATTGAAAAAAAACAAGAATGGTAAAACTAACCGGAACTTCACCTTAAACCCAATCGAAATAAGAAGAACCTGCTTATAGCTGCAATTTTTGTTTAACATACGCATGTATTATTATCGTAACGGTTATCCTTAAGATATACATCGCCGATCATAATAAATGATTACATAGCAGAATTATTCAACATTTAATTAATGAACTTATTTTTAACAGTTGGCAGTGATGGCTCTATATTTTATCACGTAATACACATATGATAACTCATTTGACGAACACGTGACGCTTACCTATGAACAATTTTGTGTTGATAACCACTTGTACGGAGTTAAATAAATAGATAAAAATCTGTCTGCTTGAATCAAAGCTATGAACGTCTACGTTACATGCGTGCGACAACCACGTGCCTTAGAATACACCACTACTGCCATTGAAGAGTAATTTATATAAATAGCAACAAACATTTCGATTTATATATTAACAGAATTATTAATGGACGGTGGTACTTTCCTACCTATCTGTCAGCTAATCTGTCAAAATGTCTGTCTGTCTGTCTCGACCTTCGTCCGTCCGTCGCTTTGTCCGTCCGTCTGTCATTCACTCTATTTGTCATCTCCCCCTTTCTCGTCCGCACTCGCTTCAGGGAGATGTAAATGCAAGTGGCTTTGTTCCTGATAGAGACTTCTTCCTATTTGCATCGCGGCTTATTTTTTACCGGCCAGCCACTGCCGCGTTGCTACCTCATAGTTTGCTTTCAGCTGCCATCGTTGACTCGTGGGTCATTGCGGTGGTCCAGTCATCGAGTTTACGGCCCCCCTCTCGCTAGTGCCACATAGCTCATTCCGGACTACCCCCACACTCCCTCAGAGCTCATGGTTTAATAACGACTTAATTTAATAATTAATTCATGGTTTAAACTGTCTCACAACCGACTCACTGTACGTTGTCTCCTTACTGGATCACAGCTTAGTCTATCTGTCTCGTTATACTGACTTACCGCTCAGATCATTTGTCTCACAAGTGACTCACAGCTTTGTCTATCTGTCTCCAATACGACTCATGGGTCACCCTAGCTGTGACGTAACTGACTCATGGACCACACCAGCTGTGACGTAACTGACTTATGGACCAAACCAGCTGTGACGTAACTGACTCATGGGCCACCACAGCTGTGACGTCACTAACTCATGGGTCACCCCAACTGTGACGTAACTGACTCACGGACCACACCAGCTGTGACGTAACTGACTCATGGGCCACACCAGCTATGACGTAACTGAGTCACGGACCACCCCAGCTGTGACGTAATTGACTCACGGGCCACCACAGCTGTGACGTAACTTAGTCATGGGTCACCCTAGCTATGACGTAACTGACTCATGGGCCACACCAGCTGTGACGTAACTGACTCACGGACTACACCAGCTGTAACGTAACTGACTCATGGGCCACCACAGCTGTGACGTCACTAACTCATAGGTCACCCCAACTGTGACGTAACTGACTCATGGACACACCAGCTGTGACGTAACTGACTCACGGGCCACAGCAGCTGTGACGTAACTGACTCCCCCTGACCGTTACTGCATCGTTATTGATTGGAGCGACAGCTTGCGCACGCTGCAGCGCGAATGAGTTGACGCGTGTGATTTGCCAGTGAGCGTATGACCGTATGTATCACCGCACGTCCAACCACCGAGCGGCCGAAGCTCGTAATACGCATCCGCATCCGATACAATACGATACGATACGATACGACAGTTAGACTGTTCCGAAGGCGGCAATCTTACGATCCCTCGCGCGTAGTTGGTGCCGCTCTCGACCCGTGCAGCGTCATATTTACCAAGTCAGTCTCACATTCACCGCCTCTCTCGGACATGATGCGCAATGTCTTACACGCGACACTCCCACCCTACTGTCCGTTGTCTTCGCAGGTCTTGCAACACAGCTGCCGAAAGTAGTCCCGGTCGCAGAACTTGTATTTGACCACCAGGGGGCAGTAGGGAACAGACGTAACATCGACGCATTCGGTACCTGTATAGAATCAACCCACGTGATCATTAGAGCATGTGGATAACAGGTTTGTGAACTTTTAAAAATTGTTCAATAATTAATGCTATTTTTATAACTAATATATATATATATATATATATATATATATATGATA